GCTATAGTTATAATATTTTTATCTATATATATTATGTTTGCAACTATTTTATCTAGATGAGTTGCTAAGTCTTCTACTAACTTACTTCTATCAAATATCATCTCTTCACCATGTAGTTTAGTTATTCTATTTATCAAATATATAGATTTTTCAAAATTCTATATTATATCTAATCTAGATTTATTACAATTTTGTAATCTTTCTAATTTACTTAGTAAAAAATTTAAAAATATTATATGTTTAAATTGTGGCCCCTCAGAAGTTGTCTGATTTTGGTTTAGTATGTACTTTCACATAATCTGTATTTTTGTTTTAATTTTCTAATCTTCATATAGATCTTAATACATGACTTAAAATTCTTGTATTTATCATAACAAATATCTTGTGTAACAAATAATATAGAATTTTTAGGAGTTTAGCAATTCTCTAGAAAAAGTTTTCAACAGCTAAATTTTCTTCAGTTAAAAAACTTTTTTTTAGCTAGATAGTTTTTTTAGTATAATTTGGCTCTTCTTGTTTCTTTAAGTCTTTGTATTTTTCTGTTAGGATTCTTTTTTCTTAATAGCTTTTGGTATCTTTCTTAAGTGAATTTAAGAGTTTTCTGTGTTTTTTCTTTACCTCTAATTTTGGTTCAAATGATCTACTTCTAATTAAATGCTTATTCACTACAATATTAAAAACTTGTTAGGATATAATTATAGTAATAAATTAGGTTAGCATCATAGTAATTCTAGTTTATAATATTATGCTAAGTTGAATACATGATATTTTGTTAGTTTTTACCTTTCTTGTTTATATTATACTAATTTATGTTATGCTGATCTATATTCTGATTATTCGATTCATAATACTAGACTGTTAATTAAAAATATTTTGTTAGTTCAAAATACTAAGCTGTTAGTTTAAGATATTTTGCTTGTTCAAGCATAATACTAATTAATCATTTAATTTATTAATCATATCCATCTGTATAACAGTTGTTTGGTCAATATATGATCTTATTGTACTATTGATTGTATTAGATAAGACTTAACATACTGCATTGATATATGCTTTAACATTAGAATCAATTTTTGATAAATCAAAATTAGTAGTTGTGTTTCTGAAAACTGTATTATTAGAAGTTGGAGTTTCTGTGTTTGTAATGTTGCTCATAATAGAATTTTTGCGAAAAACTAAATTTAAAATTTTCAGAATAGAGTTTGTTAGAAATAAGGCTGAGGTATTTATTAGATAAAATTGGATGGCTTGCATTAGCGTATAGATCTGCCACTGATTAGTGTAGGCATCGGCACATATCCTGGTTTTTCGAATCATTAACTATTGTTCAATATATATGATTTCAGGTTACACCTGATCCTAAAATTTGATTGGTTTTATTGGATGGCTACATGTAGCCGCGGCTATATATATCGATATATTTTTTCAAATTTTTATATGATACGTACCATATATTTACATAGTAGATCGATCGACCAATACACCAAAAAAATCCAAATCTATGATTGGCTAAAAATTATTTTATTAATTTTTTAATAACCAATCATATATTTACATTTTTTCTCTCGATTCCCTGATCACAGTAATTTGAAAAGAGCAAACAGGAAAAAGTTCTATTAAATTTATCAGGCACAGCAATATAATATAAACATATAGTATTTTATGATGAATTTTTGTATTACATATAGATCTCAGATATATACTATTTATTTCCATTTTCGTAACAATCCATCCAATTATCTATAATATATAATACGTATACGATACATAAGATTTATATTTTAAAAATCGCTTAACACTTGAAAGTTAATTAGTTACGTATAATTATTGTCAATAATGTAAATAATGTCGCACAAAATATTGTAGTTATTGATGATGAATAAGAAAATTGTGAGGAATTTGACTGCTGTGTACATGCACCAGTACAAGTAAATTCTGTAAGATAGTTAATTCTCAAATGTATATATTATTAAAATTATAATAATAAATAAGATGCAAATAATAATAAGATTTTTTTTTTTTTTTACTTACGCGAAATATCTACGCGATCCTGTGGCTGATATAAAGAGAAAGAAAGACCAGAATATGGCAACAACCTACCAGGTGATATACCAGCATCTTTTCCTCTTTCATCAAATATATATAATTTATATTTAGTTACCGGTAAAGACATATCTTTTGACGTATCCCAAATTACAGATGTAATATTTCCTGATGCATTAGCAACAATTGTAAGGTATTCTTCCAAATTTACAGATGGTTGTGCAAGAACATTAATATATTTCGGTTTAATGGAAAAATTTGCAGAATATTTCCAAGCAAATGTAATATTCGTCCCTATCTTAAATAAGAGATTCTTTGAAGGTGCAGGTGTAGTGATTGTAATAATTACTGGAGGTGTCATCACATCAACGAAAGTATCATTATCTGTTGTATCATTTCCTGTTGTATAGTTTCCTATTGTATTGTTTCCTATTGTATTGTTTCCTGTTGTATTGTTTCCTGTTGTAATGTTTCCTGTTGTATTATTGTTACTATTTAAGGTTATGTTCGTTACAGTTGTTGTGTTCGTTTTAGTATTATTAGGAGCAACCGTTGATAAAGGTGATAAAAGAGTCGTAGAAGGTACTCCTTTTGTGTCATTAAGTGTAGATACAACAGTTGGTTGCATAGACGATGGTGTAGATACAAAATTAGGATGCAAAGACGGTGTTGATGTATCTCTATAATGTATCCGCTTTGGCCTATTCACTAAAAAGGAAATGGTGTCAGAAGAGACATATTTTTTTACGATTCGCATCATAAAGTATACTCCGGGCAATCAAATTGATAATTATTTGACTAACTGAACTTTACAAAATCATTATGAACATACCTTTTCTATTTGAATTATCAGCTGGAACTTGTAAAGGAAATGATAATGCGAACAGGATACCAACAAGAATTACCCTTTGCATTTTTTTTTCAAACATATATGCGTGTGTGACTTTTTTTTTTTTGTTTTTTTTTGTTTTAGAGGGTTAAAGTCTCTAGTGGAAAATTCTGTTAATCAACGTTAAAATTCAAGTTGATATATCTGGAATTAAATCATATAAAATACAGGAGAAACGTATAAGATAAAACTTACTCTGATGGCTTTGGAAAAGGAACAACAGTTTTAATTAAGGGCGTTAAATTAGTTACTTTAAATAAAATAATATACATAGACAGGAAAGAGAGCAAATTATATATAATAAATTTGCAAACACGTCCCAATATAATATACTTAAGATGATACTCCCAGTTACATATGATAGAATTGCAGATTCTCATTAATGTTAGCTTTTTATCTATGTATTATTATACGTAAACTAACATTTTTAGAAACATTTACACGACGAGTCAAGATAATTTGATGAATTTTTAAATATATAATTAAAGTACAATTTAATTTATCTTAAATTTAAATATAAAAAAAGATTTGGGTGTGAATATTATCATATACGTTAGTACAAATGCACAATTTTTGTCATAAAACTTTAAAGAATTAGTTAATATATATTATTGCCTTTTATCTGTGCTCTTTTTGATGTCATTGACTGTTATCGATATTAATATTTATATACTCGATCATCTATCGCCTATCTTGCGTATAACAATTAATAACTTACATAATAAAAAATTTTAAATTCTCATAATACATTTTATAAAAAATTATTATTCATCGCCAATGTGATGCATTATCGTTCTCAAACAAGCTAAAAGTTTTTTTTTTATTTTTAATACGATAATAACAAAAAAAAAATAAAAAAAAATAAAATAAATAAATAAACAGTGAATTTGAGTTAGGCTAGATTTTGGTAAGTCAACAGGTGAAGGACCTAAATAACCCTATGTCATATATCGGAATTTTTGCCAGCCCAAATTTCCATTATTTCAGTATTTTAAATTGCTTATTCGAAATTTTGAAATTTACTAGGGTTCTGCCGAAATCGAAAACTTATTGACGGCAATTTTTCAGAATAATAAAGCAGCTAGTTGATTGATAACTTATTTTGGTTAATTGATTTTTATCAGTTGTCCAAAGAATAGCCATAAAACTAATCACCTAGAAAATGTGCACCAGGTTGGGTCCGGAAGGATCATTTAATGATTAGGTCAGAATTAATTAGCATCGATGTATTTGTTATACGATCCCGAAATGTGTAAGGTTGATGCTCCGTAATACGATATTAACGGTAATGATTGTGGTGGTTTATTTTATAAAGTCGTTTGTTTTGTCACATATTGCACTTTCTACTTCGCTTATTGTTTCATTTTCACATTTTTTTATATCTTGCTTTGTACTGTATATCGTAAAATATTAAAGTAAAATAAATAGCAAAAGATAATCAAAAGAGTAGCTATTTCTGATAGAATTAATAAAGTAAAGCAAATTCTAAACTAAAAAGAAGAGCAACTTATCATACTAATTCTAGAAGATATAGTTAAAACAAAAGAAATAGAAATAGCAACAGAACTCAAAACATATAGTAGTTATAAAGAAGCTCTCAATGAGTAAATAGTTAAAATAGAAATAAAAATAAAAAAGAAGATTTGTAATTAGATTTAAACACAAGCAAAATAAATCTCAAAAATATTGATCTGTAAGAAAATTTACTAAAAATAAAGTCTGAAAACTAGATACTAGAAAAAAGTTCAAAAGATTAAACCAAGAGCTAAAACTTAGACCAAGAAATAACTCATTAGAAAGTAGTATTTAGGCATCTAAAGTAGATAGATGTGAAGAGAAAGAGAATATCTCAACAAAAATTTTATTAGCAAATATAACTAGCAAAAATATATTTGAAAGCGAAAAAACTTTGAGATAATTCTTAAAAAGAAATATTCATATTGAAGAAATTTTTAAAAAGTTTTTCAAAAGCAACTACTATTATATAATTACTATTGATTGCAGAAAAAGATACAGAGAAGCAAAATTGAACTAGAGAATAAAAAAGAAGATTACGAATAACTATAGCTTTTAACAAAAGAACTACTAAAGACAAACCAAAATCTAACTACAAGTAAAGAGTTACAAAAAGACACACTAAGCAAAAGTATCAATAAAAAAAAAAAAAGCAATAAAGAAAAAAGCTAAGTTTGTTGATATTCATATATATATTAGTTTATAATTTCTTGAACTTTTTTTTGGCATTAATAGCTTTTTCTTTGTTAAATATTTTAAACTTAACATAAGAATTAAAAACAGCAGATACAACAGAAGGTTCATTCATTATAGCCTAATATGTTTCAATTTTTTGATAAATTAATATAATAATTAGATATTAAGAAAATTCTTCTTTTTCAATATAGATATCTAAGTAGTTTTGAATACTTAAAAAAACCAAACAAATATTACCTATAGTTAGATATGATGATGCTGAAAGTAATTTTGTTGTGACTTCAATTAGTTTTAATAGAGTAAGTATATTCTAAAAAATCATTATTTTTTTTTTTTTTTTCCTTTGACAGTCACGTTATAAACTTTATTAAGTTGTTAACCATAGCCTTAGCCAAGTTATATGTGATTATAAAATCTACCTAATTTCCTAAGCTTGACATCACCCAGCTGCTACTAGAGTGCTCAGGTGCGACCTGTCGCACTGACCATATGGTCAGAACAATTATGTCTAACTAAATCAAAGAAAACTCCACCAACTTTCATCCCCTTCTTTTATTCCTTCCCTAACTACTTCCTTCACTAGCGTTTCTATCCAATCTTTTTTCCTCCCTCTTTCCCTCTTTTTTTCCGCAATTGCCAATTTCCTTTCCTCCTCTGTTAAGGTTCTCACTTTTGGATCCTTTCTTTTTGCTATGCTTCTTTTTAACTTCGTCGTAATTCCTTCTTGCTTTTCCCAAAGAATCACTTTCTCACATTGCCAGTTCCATATTATTTCTACAAAGCTTTTTTGTATAATAAAAAAGATGCTATCTATCCAAGTTTTCGCTATACCTTTTCCTGAAACTAGTGCTTGAAGATCGCTAGCCATTTTCATTTTTTCCAGTCCCATCACTAGCTCCTTTCTTCTTTGGTACCTGCACTCTTTATCACTTGGAAAAATAGCTTCTCTAACTTCTAGCGGTAGAGGCAATTTAGGGTCTTCCTCAGCTCGAATCTTGTTAATACCTTCTACGACTGCCTCCTCGATCGCTTTTCAAGACTCCTGCAGAGTAGAACAACGTATTAAGTGGTCGAAGTCTTCTGAAACTTCTTCTTTACATAGAATACAGTGGTCTTTTTGATATAGCTCTGGCTTATGCTTCTTGAGCTCACTAAGCGTTGGTAAGCTATTTGTTAAACACTTGATCTGCATAACCAGACTTCTGCTATCTTTTATTGAAAGGCAATTTACTCCCCTCTTTCTTTTTATTCTTTGCCATTGACCTTTCCAATTATATTCTGAACTTTCGACCAAATTCTCTTTTCTTTGAAAGGCCTACTCCACATTGTTATATCTTTTTATTAGCTTAGTCACAAAGTGTTTAACTGAACTTTTGATTCTATTAGACCTCCATGCAATATCGTAGTCGAAGTTATCACTTCTGACTGTATTTAAGTCAAAGGTTATGCGTGATCTTCTTCCTTCCTTAGCTAATCGGTCTGCTTCGTTATTCCATTCATCACTAGTGTGACTTTGAACCTTTTTGAGCTCGAGCTTTATACTTTCTGCTTAATAAGTATTGCTATTTTTTCTAGGATTATTCTGTTATCCATCCTAATCCATTTGCTGTACTGCTCGGTATTGCAAGCTTTCGTTATACTCTCTATT